CCAGGGTACACCAAGGTCCCTGAGCCAGGCTGCACCGTGGCCCCTCAGCCAGGCTGCACTGTGGCTCCACAGCCAGGCTATACCGTGGTTCCTGAGCCTTTCCCCTCAAAAGTGGCTCCAGGCCCAGCTCAGCAGAAGACCAAGCAGAAGTGAAGCCGTCCAGAGCCAGGTTCTTCAGGAGCTGAGCACCACCTGATGAACACCTTCTTCCCATCTTCCTGTCTCAACTTTCAATAGATCTCATAATCAACATGTTGTCACCCTGACTCCTTATTTGTATCTTAAAATTATGCACCCAAACCTTCCCTTGCATAAACTCTCAGGAAGTTTGCGTAAGCCTTTAAGAAACTCTCGGTGCCTTTGCTGGTCTTCAGTTGCTGAGAGTTCATCTGAGTAGTTTTTCCTGATAGAAGGAACTGTGTGTTTCCTGCTCTGTCCTCTTGAATCACTTGTCTCTCCACCTCGGCGGTGTGTCGGGGCTCAGCCTTCCCCTGCCGTGGTCTCCCATATGAGTCAGGACATACCACGGGGAAGGACTGGTGTACGTGCCACCTATTTAATCTTGGCACCGGATTCTTTCATGAGGCCTTGGGGGATACACTTCAAGGGCATTTCTCGGAGATCAATGAGGCATTGTATGATGGCAACCGGAAACTCTCACTTTGGGGAGCCATAGCTAGAACAAAGATGGCTTCTTACTTGGGACTGAGTCACATTTGAGTTCCATGGTGCCTCCTCCAAGCTCCTCAGTATTCTGCCAACACATCTCCTGTCTCTTCCAAGAAAAATTTGCTTCCACATATTGGAATTTAGTAACCTATTTTCCTTCACTCAGTTTACATTCCAGATACCCTGAGCCATATAGATACTCACGAAGAGACATAGTCTTTGTAAATAATCACACATCACATAATCACCCACTCACGCTCCATCTTCATCAGAACAGACGATATGATCTTTTGCTCGATAGCTACCATGTGCATAGAGACCTAGCCCTGCTCAGGAAGATGGAGAAGAGCACGCGGAGTGCCTCCCGTGGGGAATTTGCAGTCCTCTGCAGGAGATGTGATCCTCACGTTCTTTTCATACGCACAAATATACAACTACATGTCCTTACAAACACACTTCCCATAGTTTCTCTCCCAAAATGACCCTCGGAAATCTTTCTAGTGAAGTAATTATTTTTAAAGGGATGACCAGTAGAAATGGATATTATCAAAAACCAAACCAGCACAAGAAGTAAAATCAATAGTCAATAAACGGAAAGGCATCAACTAACAAATGAAACAAGAGCGTGAAGAGAGCCTACAGAATGGGGGGGAGTCTCTGCCACCTGCACCTCAGCTAGGGCATTAAGTTCCAGGACATATAGAGAATTAAAAAAAAAAAAAACACTTAACACCAAATAAACAAATAACCCAATCAATAAACGGGCAAAGAAACTGAAGAGACATTTTTCAAAAGAAGAAATATGATGGTCAACACATATATGTAAAATGTTCACCAACTCTAGCAGTTAGAGAAAGGCAAATTAAAGCTTCACTGAGATTTCATATGGCTTCACTCAGAATGGCAATTAATCAGAATACAAGAAAGCCAGGCACAGTGGCCCATGCCTGTCATCACAGTGGCTCAGGGGGCTGAGGTAGGATCCCGAGTTCAAAGCCAGCCTCAGCAACTTAGAGAGGCCCTGGGCAACTCAGCAAAGCCCTGTCTCTAAATAAAATATAAAGAAAGAGCTGGGGATGTGGCTCAGAGGTTAAGTGCCCCTGTACCAAAAAAAAAAAAGTAGAAATAAATGTTGACAAATATATGGGGAAAAGGCACACTCATACATTTCTGGTGGGACTGCAAATGGGAGCAACCACTCTGAAAAGTGGAATGGAGATTCCTGAAAAAACTAGGAATAAAACCACCATTTGACCCAGCTATCCCTCTCCTTGGTCTATACCCAAAGGACTTAAAATCAGCATACTACAGGGACACAGTCACATCAATGTTCATAGCAGCTCAATTCACAATAGTTAAACTATGGAACTAACCTAGATGCCCTTCAACAGATAAATGGATAAAGAAAATGTGGTGCGTATACACAATGGAATATTACTCAGCCTCAAAGAAGAATGCAATTATGGCATTTGCCAGTAAATGGATGGAACTAGAGAATATTATGCTAAGCAAAATAAGCCAATCCCAAAGAGCTAAAGACTGAATGCCTTCTCTGATATGTGGATGCTAATTCAAATGAGGGGGTGGGTAAGGAAGAATAGAAGTACTCTAGATCATATAGAGGGGAGTCAAGGAGGAGGGGATATGGGGGTAGAAAGGAAGTAGAGTGAATCTGACATCACTACCCTATGTGCATATGATTACCTGACCCATGTAACTCTACATCATGTACAACCAGAAGAATGAGAAGTTATACTCCATTATGTCTGATTATCAAAAATGCATTCTACTGTCATGCATAACTAATTAGAACAAATGAAAAATAAAAGAAAAATGACTTTATGACATTCGCCTTAAATGGCTGGATCTGGAGACCGTCATGCTAAGTGAAGTAAGCCAGTCCTTCTGTCCTTGTGGCCACTACTTTAGTCACGGGAAAAACAGACATCCTTCCGCTGGGGAGTCTCTCAGTTGGATTGGAGAGACAGCCCTGTCCTGTGGAGCTCAGTCTTCTAAAGGCTACAGGACACCTCTTTCCATAGGGTGTTGCAGGTACAGCTAGGGAGGAGCAGGTGGTTTTCACTGTCGTGAGCATTGCTGCCTTTGATATGTAGGGAGGATGAGGTTGGGGAAGGGTCAGGCTCAAGTGGTCCCCAAGCTAGGAGGGGTCTGTGTTCAAAGAATGTGGTGCGTCTTTCCGTGAAGGTGAAACCTCTCAGCAGAGATGAAATGCCCCTCGCCATGTTGCATGGACCCAGAGTCCATAGGGAAGCCCTAAGCAGGACAGGGAAGATGGGATCCAGGATGGGTGCCTGGTGTGGGATGCGCAGGGCCGTTGGATGCAGCCCGTTGAAAGCTGTGTCTGTTAATGCATCAAGGGCCAGTGGAGGCCTCATGAGAGCCAGGCCAGCCATTTGGTTCTGGGGAGGTGTGTGGGGGGGCAGGTTGGGGGAGTGGTGAACATGGTGAACTGGAATAGGAGAACAGGAAGAGAAGCAGGCAAATTAAGTAGGGAAATGGAGAGAGCCAGTTGGGACAAGATTTCCCAGCGATGTCCACCAGAGAGCTCTCCTGAGTCAGAAGTAAGGAGGCAACACCAGCAGCCCAGTGGGACACCCACGGGAAACTCCCCTTTCTCCCTGGGAACTGCCTTATGGAACTGCTCTCCTCTAGACCCCCTGGGGACTCCCGGTCCTGCTCGCTTACAGGAATGAGCAGGCGAGGAAGCCAACCTATAGTCACAAGAAGAAACTAAATATGAACTTTACCTGCACAAGCTGAGGTCAGCAGGCAGGTTGTGGACCGCAATGCACCACGCAGTGGTGGTCTGCGCCTGGGATTCCTCATGTGAAAAACAGTCCCTGCCCTCGACTGCAGACTCTGTAAATGGCATTCTCTTGTCATTGCAAAGAAAGTGGCCGGGGGAAGAGAAAGAGCTCTGTCAGGGAGTGTTCGCCCCTGGCCAGGTACAGGGTAACTTGGGTGGCAATGTTGAAGTCAGAGGGGAGACTGGCGTCTCTGTGAGTGGGGTGGAGGGAGTGTTATTGGGGTTTAGAGTTGAACCGTGGTGTTATGTGCATACCACCAAAATGTCTTAAGACTCTTGCTCCCACCTTTGGGTTGCTGGCCTGGAAATTGCTCTGGAGCCTACAGAAGGTTCCGGACAAACACTTTCCCTCTATAAAGAAGTATTCTAAATAAATGCATCAATTTATGGGATAGACAATGGCTGAAATCTAGAGCTATTCAAAGAATAAAACAATTCATTTTACTCAACGGTCAAACATAGTCACTGTTTATGCTTTGCTATATTTACTGCTATTTTTATTGTGCAAAGATGTGATTATGTCTTATATGCCATAATATTTTATATGATCTTAATATCATCCAAACATTTTTGCATATAACTTATCATCATACTTTTGTGTATATTGTAGTACTTAGATACATGATAACTATTGCAGTACTTAGATACATAATAACTTTGTCAATTTTCTCTGTTGGGAGTGCATGCTGTTTCCCTCCCATTTTTTAAATGACATAAAATGCTAAAATGATCACCCTAACAAATAAATAATTTGTACAGGAATGACTATTACCCTGTGGAATTCAGGTGCATGCAGATATTGAAGGATTTTGATTCATTTTGCATTTGACGTCACACCACCAACATCTATGTATCACTTGCCAGAGTCCCCACCCGGCCTGCCCCTTTAAGTTAAGGTGACTCCTCCTGGAGATGTTAGTGACATTTTCCATCATGCTAATGAGCGGTAATTTGAAGTCATCTCAATGTGAGCATACCTTACAGACCCAAGTGATGTCATTCTCTCCTGCTGGTCTGACAACTACTCAACTTGCAAAAACTTTTTAGACTGTGTTTGTCTGTGGTTTGAGCTCTTTCCAAGCTGACCTGTCACACAGGTTTCCTGTCTCCTGCCTCACACCTCTTTGGCATTTTAGACCAACCATGTTGTCATGGAATGGGGTCACACCCGGTGACCTCTGCAGCCCCTCTGAAAACCCCAATTGGCCGCTCATCCTCTGCAGACGATTTGCCAATAACCCAGACCTGGTCAAAGAGCCTCTGAAACCCGCTGGTCACCACGGGGTGGGGCAGCAGGAACACAGGGCTCCAGAGGAGAAGCCGGAAGCTGAGAGTCAGAAGAGCTGGGCTCCAGGGTGATTCAGAAACAGGACTTCTGGGGGCCTTGAGATAATTCTCTTCCCCTTTCTAGATACCCGTCTATCTGAAAAATGAGTGGACTGGACTAATTCCTCTAATTTCCCTAAAATTTATATTGTCATGACCTGTCCACCCTATTTCATGATGGATTTTGATCTATCTTGTTAGTCTTTCTTCTTCTGAAAGCTGCTTGAACTTTTTGGTCTTTTATTTGATGCATTTGTTTTTATGTTTTATTTAGAGAAGTACCGTGTGTGTGTGTGTGTGTGTGTGTGTGTGTGTGTGTGTGTAGGGGGAGAGGGAGAGTGAGGGGGAGGGAGAGAGAAGGCTGTGGGTACTTTTTGTAAGGGATGGGATAGGGTAACAGCAGCTCTCTCCTAGGGCAGGCACTACGGATTCCACTCCTTCTTCCTGCTATAGTAAGTGTCTTCATGGTGGGAACTCGATAAAAGAAGACTGACTAAGGTGACCAAGGCAGAGTGTGTCTGTGTGTTCTATGTGACTTGGGACATCTGAGTGTGGAGGTGTCTGTGTGTGTCCATCTCTGTGTATGGGAGTCTGTTGTAAGCATGGGGCAGTGTGGCTGTGAGGATGTGGTTCCTTGCAGAGGGGACGGCAAAAAGGGGAAGATGAATGAAGACAAATAATCAGGTTGGAGTATATACCTGCACTATTTTGTAATTATTTTTTTAAAAAGAAGAAGGACAATTTTGGGGCAAGGGCTCAGAGTCAGAGGTGCCACATACACTTAGGAGTCACTTACACAGGTGAAAGAAGAAAGCCCTGCTCTATCTGTAGCTTCTGAAAGTAAAGAAGGCTGGGTGGCCCTGAACACCCTCTTACTGCCAACCCGTGAGTACCCTGTATCTAAGAACACCCCCCCACACACACTGCTCTCAGCGCCAGGCTCAGCCACCTTCGCACTGTCACGAGCCATCTGTGGGCTGTGTGTGGACTGTGTTGTGCACTGTAGCCTCCTGAGGGGATAAGTCTGGCACTGGGAACCCCTGGGGGCACTCCCCACAGGGACTGACCCCCTGATGCAGGTGAACTTCCCCCTCAAGCTCTGCCTAAGGTCCCACTTAGCACCTGATACGGGTGTGACCTGCCAAGATGTCAATCAACCTGCTGACTGCAAGTCATCACAAAGCAAGACTCTGCCCTTGAAACCTTACCCCTGGCTTTGATGTACCCCCTTAAATAAACCACCAGAGCCATTTTGTCTTTGTCTAGTTCAAGACCCATGTCGACTAGATCAATCAGGGGCTTTGCTTTTGTAAATATATTTCTGAGTGTTAGTGTTTTATTACTTGTTAACCATTTGAGATATTAAGATTTAGGGTGGATTAATTATTTGAGACATTAAGATTTAGGGTGGTCATTTAGGGTGGCTTGGATTTCTCTGGGCAGACGGATCCTCCAATCAGTCTCTGGCCATCTTCCCCCTGAAATCTGACCACAGCCTTTACTGTACTAGGTCCTGCTTCGTGCAAAGAGAGCATGGAAGGTTGGATCATCCACAGACACACACACAGCCAGTTGTGGAGTTAAAAGTGATTTAATGAGGGCAGAACAGGGAAGAGTCCCTTGACCCCTCCCAACATCCCTCTTCAGATTAACCCTGAGCCCCTGGAAGACCTACTCATCCAGTGAGACTTGCAGTCACCTTCAGAGGCTCGGGAACCTTCCATAGAAGAGTGTGAGGGATGTCTTTTTGGGGGGTTCAAAGAGGGAGGGATGATGACTCATGTTAATCACAAGGTCAACAGAAAAATGGGACACCTGAGCAAAACGGAAAAGGGACATCCAGTGGTTGCCTCTTCAAGGTGTGGCTGTGACCATGTTACTTCTGCTTTGTCTTCTGCTGAGCTGGTGTTGGAGTGACTGTCGAGGGGCAGGGCTCTGGCACCTTGGGTTGGCAGGGCTCAGGCACCTTGGATTGACAAGGCTCAGGCACCTTGGGTTGGCAGGGCTCAGGCACCTTGGGCTGGCAGGGCTCAGGCACCTTGGGTTGGCAGGGCTCAGGCACCTTGGGCTGGCAGGGCTCAGGCACCTTGGGCTGGCAGGGCTCAGGCACCTTGGGCTGGCAGGGCTCTGGCACCTTGGGCTGGCAGGGCTCAGGCACCTTGGGCTGGCAGGGCTCAGGCACTTTGGTGTGACAGGGCTCCTTGGTTTGGGGGACACATGGTTCCTGGGGTGGAGGCTGGCAAGGCTGCTTCACCTGCTGCTGGTGCAGCTGAGGGGGTGGGGCGCAGGGCTGCTTCTGCTGCTGGGAACTCATGCTTCAGTGACGGCTGGGCCTGGAGACAGAAGAGCTGACTCAGTTTCTCAATGCAACAGAGACGAAGCCAAGTTCAGTGCCCAGTAGATTTCATTCCGGGACCCTTTCAAGGAGAGAGCCTCTCCTCTCCCCTCCCTGACCCCTACATTTGAAAATGTACTCTGGTGGTTTCTGGGACCTCTCAAGAGGAGGAGCGTAAAGGCAGTCTGCTCTGCCCCATTTCAGTGGGGCTCATTCCTCAGCTTCTTCCCCAGACAGGTTACAGCCCTCCTTGAAAAGTGCCTGAAGAAAGCTGGCTTCGGGGAGACACAGGGCGGACGGTCTGGGGAGTGGCAGCACTGAAGTGGCTGTGGTCTATTCATTCCGGATTCTACTGGGAAAGCTATGAGACTCTGTAGTGGGGCTCTATGTTAACCCAAGTCCCTGGGTTTTGGTTCTGGTATTTGCTTGCAGTTTCCTATAAGAATGCACAGTCTCCATCCCATGTCTGCCTGTCAAATACTCCTCCATCATGGCTCACGTCACAGGCCACCACCAAGAGCTCTTTTTAACCAATGGTCTCCCAACCCCTGTAGTCCTTCCCTTCCCTGCTTTCCTTAAACTAAATACCATCTACCTTGCATTGCAGCTCTTTATCTGCCTGCATCACCTTCCGTGATAGGTTGTCAATTTGGTAAGTTCCATATTGGTCTGTTTATCTAACGTGCCTAGCTGCTGTCTTAAATGCAATAGGCGCCCAATAGAGATCCACGAGATGAGTTAAAATTTCCTCAGTAAGTATCACATCAGAGAAAGCTGTGATGTAGACCTCAGCCTGAGCCCTTGTCCTGCTGTGAACTTCCTGTGGGCTCCCTTTCCTTCTCTGACCCCCAGTTCCACGGCTGTCCGCTGAGGTGACAGACTCAGCCACCTCTAAGTTCCCTTCAGACTCAAACTGTGCTCTAATTTAAAATAAAGGTATTCTCTAACTCTAGTCAATACCCTGCACCAACCTTCTTCTGTACATTCGTCTTGTCCAGTCTCCAGTAAATGCAAAAATAAACAGTAAGTTCAAATAGGTTGCCATCGGAGACTCACCTGGTGCTCAGAGAAGAGCGGTCTGTCTCGCCACTCGGGTCGCTGTGAAGGCGAGAGCCAGCTGGCTTTTATAAGATGGACAGCTCTCCTCCAGGAAGCAGAATTGCCTGTCACACATGACTCACTCCCCGCCCCTCCGTCACCCTTTGACTCAGCTTTCATGATGAAAACGCCCACCTGGTTTAATGGCCCTGGAGGTCTGACGATGATGTCATCCGGGTCCCACTGCCACCCCCCCCCCCCCCCCCCCCCCCCCGCCAGACACAGGTGGCCTCTGGAAGGTTGAATGAGTCGGATCTGGAGGAGGTCGGAGTCCTCCAGGGGCCCTGCCACCTGCTATCTTTCTCACTGAGACCGTTGCTCTCCCCGCCTTGTGGGATGGAATACAGGTGGGAAGGGGAAGGGGAGAGGAGGAGTCCAGGTGGGCATCACTGGCTGGCCCAGGTGGGTGCTAGAGTAAGGAGCCGATTGATCATAGACTCCTCGCATCCTCTGGGGAGGTCCAAGGTCTTCTTGTCCATTTCTGGCATCTTTCTCCTCACTCACTGAGCCATCCACGTTCAGAATTACTGACCTGTCCCCGTCCCCAGCCCCACCCCTCCCTGGTTGGTTGCTAGTCTGGGAAAACCTGCTTGGCTTTCACCACCCACACCTTCACCCTTCTCCCATTTCATTAATTTTCAACGACTAATCCCTCTTCTGGGATAACATTTTATTCTCTACTCCACCCGGTCAGGGGGACATGGCCCTTCCCTCCTTCTGTCCCCTACTGGAACACCTGGAAGCCTTTGCCAACTGCCTCCACCCAAGCTCATTCATGGGGTGCTTAGTGTTAAGTCCTCTCCCACCGCCTGCCCACTTCTGCCTGAGCCCCAGCACTGGAGACCTCCTGGCTGCAATGTTTGCCTCTCCTGTCTGACAGTTCCCCTGGGGGCTCTTGAGGGTCAGGGATGTGCCTGCTCAAACCCACGGTTCCTGTGATCGTATTGCTTTTCTTCATTCAAAAAATCCATGGCGGTTCCCATGATCATATTAATACATGGAGGATCTAATCGATTCCCATCCTGTCTGTCGTTGGAGGAGCTGAGGGTGAAGCCTACTTTCACCGATAGGCAGGGAACTCCTCAGGGTGAGAGTATAAGCCACGGGGTTTAATGGATCTCCGAGAGCCTTTGTCCCCACCTCTCGGGGATGCCTAGGGATTTGAGGCTGTGAGAGGTGAACCAACTCACCAAAGGGGAACAAAGAATCCTACACAGAAAGCCCACCTTCCCTTTGTTTTAAAGCCTTCTATTTCCCCCGGGGGAAATTAAGCCCAGCTAGGAAAATGATGAAAGGCAGGACGGGAAGCTCAGACTTCCCTGCTTGGCACTGGGTCCCCTCACAGTTCTGGGGCAGCTTCGCATGAGGAGAGATGGGAGATAAGGAAAAAGCCCTGCCTTGTGGGTGAGTCCTAATCGTAGCTCAGATGCAGCCTCTTAAGTAAGAATGAAGCTGCTTCATGTTTGAAAGGGCTCTGGGAATTAACCGTAGGTATTTCTAAGCACTGGTAAGAGACAGGAAGAGGCCGATGAGCATCGGTAGAAATAAGGGCCTTATTTAGTTCAGCGTCACTCCGTGGGCCAGGGTCTAAGAGAGGCAGATCAAAGCTAAAAATGCCGACCTGTCTTTTGAACTCAGTTGCTTTCACTCCGAGGAGGTCTCAGGGCGGCTTAGTGACTTGGCCTGGTACCCTGATGGGTGAGGCCGTGAGGATGCCTCTGGGCACTGCTCAGGAATGCCTGCCTCCCTGGTCAGATTCTGAAGATGCTCCCTGCCATGGGGCTCCTCTTTTCTGAGAACATAAAACAAGGGTTCCCTGGGGGCTCTTGTACCAACAATTTTCTCCAATCAACATAACATGAAACTGAGGTCACTGATTTAGAGCTGTATTCCAAACACAATCTGTTAACAGCTGTGGCCCTTGGAAAATTCAAATTACCTTAATACCCCGGTATGTGGATGGCTCCTCTTCTTCATCCCGCCCCTCGCCCCTCCTCTCCCCAAACACACACCTACTGTTGGTGGAGCATCTGCTGGCCCGGTCACCTCCTGTGGACTTACTTGAGTCCCGTGTCAGTCTACCACTGTGTCCCAATAGCCATTGGTCCACAAGCTTCTTCACCTGGTGCCCGACGTGGACCTGGCCATTGTGGACGACTGACCGAATGATGAAGGAATGGGCGGTGCGTGGCATTATTTGTAGAGGGGCTTGGAGATGGCTTCAAGAACTGTTGAGAAGTTCCTTGTCAGAGAAACATCCCCTTGTCATGGGTCTTTAGGGACAAGCTGGAGAAGAGAGCGAGGGCTGAGCCAAGGACAGACCAGGCTTCCACTGGCTTCCCCATCCATGGCTTGGTTTTCAGCCAGTTTAAAAACTTCCCTTTCTCAGGCTGGTGAAGCGCCACCCCTGAGCCCCAAGCCTCTGGCCTCAAATCAGCCTGCTCTAGGTGGTCCCTCTCTCCACCAGATCTTCTCTTCAGGGTCTGTGACGGCAGGAGCTCTAGGCAGAACCCACGCTGGTGGCTGGGAGGATTCCGAGCCCCAGAGGAACCTGTCTCCTGCTCCTCTGTCCTCCGCTGCTACTCAGGCCCCAGGCAGACCTGGACCCAGCTCTGAGCCAGGATACTCCCACGCCCCCTGGATCTGAAGGAATCTCTCCTCCTCGGGGATCTGCCCTTGCTGGACTTGCCCGCCTGCCTCACCTGCACTACCTTCCCTTCGAGGATGTGCTGGCCTCGGGAATGTCCCCTTGATCCCCCACCTTGTTTTCTCCTTTCATTTGTCTGAAGCCATTTGTTGGTGGCTTGACCTCTCTCTCCTTTTAGAAGAGTCTTCGTTTCTTCACCACCAGGGCTAGATGGGTTTTTGAATCAGGCCTTACAAATTCTCCCATGAAACTGGACCTTTTCTGATGATAAGTACATCCCCTGAGATTCCTCGGCCTTGGCCAGGAACCCCTGCTTATAGCACAGGAAGCTGCTGCTCTTCCCATGTTACAAACTCGCACCCCTCTATCCCCAGGTCAGGACCCCCCACCGATGCTGAGCAGTGCCTCCATCCATTTGCACAGCAGGGCAGATTGATGGCCCTAAATGTAGTCAGTGATCAGGCTTTTCTTGGCTTAGATTATTCCCAAGACCCAGACCTGGCAAAGAAGGTCTTGCAGGATTGAGGTCTAGTTTTGCTCATGTGCGCACTGAAAGCGTATTAACATCTGGAAACTTGTAGTCTTGGCAGAGTTTGACCCACCTTCCGATCATGTCGAGGACCCACGGAGACCACCGTGTCAGCCACTTGATTCAAGTCATGGAAAACATTTTTTAAAAAGAGTCCTTAATAACAGATCCCATGGTGTATTAAGGAAAGAACAGGGAATGAAGGAAGAAACAGTCTATCCCAGGTGTTAGAAGCCTCCCACGCACTTTGGCCCAAAAGGCAGCAAGAACCAAGTTGGCTAAAATGGGTGCAGAGGAGGAGGGAAGAAAGAAATAGGTGGGGGGCAGGGATGGTTGCAAGCTCTGTAGCAGCACAAGCAGACCCAACCTGGACGCCGGATCTCTACTCCACTGTCTCCCTAAGAATATATTGTGTTCCTTTTCCTTCCCCTTTTTCTTAACAGTCCTGAGAGGGTAGGGAAAATAATTAAATCTGGCTTCTCTTGCTTGACAAGAAAAGGACCCAGGATTAGAATTTAGCTCAGCTGGTTCAAAACCTTGTTCTGTTCTTATTTGTTGGATGACCTTGAATAAGTGGCCTAACTTTTCTGCACTTCAGTGTCCTCATCTTTAAAAGAAAAACTATTTCAAATACTATTTGAAAATTCTGCTTCTCAACACTAGTGGGGCATTTTATGACCCAGAGGAATACTTTTAGAAAAGTCA